AGTAATTAATAAAGATGTTAAACACTTGTCGATATTTTGCAGATACTTGTTTCAATTTTGAACCATTATTTGATTCATAGCTGTATGAATGGAAATGGGCTCTACTATAAACACTTTCTTCTCATTTGTGAAAACCATTTTCATGACGATTTTAATAATAGATCTTTATTAATATGGCATTTAATGACAATTAAGCCCAGTGAAATAAATACGTATTTCGTGCGCAATTTCACAGTATTCGAAATATCGATATTTTTTATTTTGGTGAATATAATTTATTTAGTCAATATACAAAAATAGTTTTATTTTTGACAAGTCAAAAGAATAGTGACAATTTACATACATACATATAAAAAATTTTTGGCGAAATAAAATAGAAAAACATGAAACATGATAATACGTAAATAAGCTTAAAAAATTAGTACTTTTGAGTAAAAGCTGTAGTCAGGTACTTTATTTTTGAATAGAAACAATGTTTCAAAATGTGTGATTTGATTTTAGTCTTAAACGATAACAAGTGAAGACTTTTTATTTCATCTGGCAAAAAGTTATACAAACTAACATCAGTCGAATCTTTTATGCTCTTTTTCAACCTAAAACGTTGTGCTATGATAGCATTTCTAGATCTGGTATCGTGATCTTGGAAGTTGGAGTTTATCTTAAACTCACCTTTGTTGTGTACCTCATATTAAAACTAAACGAGAGACGCTCTATTAAAAATGTCCAAGTATATACACCCACGACGAGCCATAGCGATGAAGAAATCCAAAACTTTTATGAAGATATAAATAGAGCTTTAGAAAAAGATAACGCAGAAGAGGCTATGGGCTCATTTGGATACGGTGAGCGAAACGATAAAGAATGTGTGCTATTACATTTTTTGTTGATCATCGGCTCTATGTGATGAACACATTTTTCAAAAAGAACCAACAACGTAAGTGGACGTGGGCTAGTTCAGATGGCATAACAAAAAACGAAATTGATTTCATCATCACAAACAGAAAAAATATTATCCAAGATGTTACAGTATTTAATAAAATCAATGTTGGGAGTGACCATCGGTCAGCAAGACTCTAACTGTTGGTTAGAGGAAAAATAATGATCAACATCAGACTAGAGAGGACAGCAATGATAACAGGGAGGCATTTTCATAAATTGAAATCGATAGAAAATAGAGTAGGTTATCAGAATCTCATAACTTCAGAACTGAAAGAAGTATAACGTCTAAATGAAAATGCATTAGATATAGAGGTGACAAGAATAAATAGTGCGATTCGAAACGATCATAGAAAATATAAGGAAAAATGAAAAAACAAGATGGATAAAATTACTCAAGCTACTAACGATCTTATAAACAAAAGAAGAAAATTGAAAGACAAATGCACAGATAATTTTGTAACACTTAGATAGTTAAACAAAGATATCACAAAATCCATTCAAAAAGATGACAAAAATTACAATACTGAATACATATCTCAAGCCATTGACCAATGACTGAAGAATCAAAAAATATTTGTAAACTTATAAATAAAAAGGAGAAACTACAACAAACAAGGAAGATATTTAAAAAATTGCTCAAGATTTTTACTCAGAATTGTATAAGCGAGAATAACTTCCAGATCCTGATTAAAATCTAATACCAAAAGTTCAAAATGTAGGCTTAGAAGACATCTCAGATATCACAACAGAGGAAATAAATTCAGTTTTCTTGGGGATGAAAAACAATAAATTACCTAGAGAAGTTGTAATAGTTATTGAACAAATCAAAGAAGGAAGAGAAACGTTAGTAAATGTGGTAAAAAAGATGTTCAATGCTTGTTTGACAAGAGGCGTAACCCCCTCCCAGTAGCATAATGCAATAATAACCATAATGCACAAAAAGTTGACATTTTAGACCTAAAGAACTACAGACCTATTAGTTTGCTCTTACATACATACAAACTATTCATGAAGATAATAACAAAACGGCTTGTGAACAAACTAAATAATTATCAACCTTGTGAACAGACTGGGTTCCACTCCAGATACGGAACAAAAATCATCTACAAATTATAAAAACGCTAATAGAAAAGTGTACAGAGTATAAGATGCCTATCTTTCTTATATTCGTAGATTATGAAAAGGCGTTCGATACTATAGATCATCATAAAATGTTTCGAGCATTGGCTGACTGCCGCATTGACTACCAATATATCGATTTGATTAAAAGTATTTACGAAACGGGTACAGCTTGTGTCCGCCTTCATGAAGATACCAAGAAATTTCGAATAGAACGTGGAATTAGACAGGGTGATACTATCTCCCCTAAATTGTTTACAGCTGATCTTGAATATATATTCAAGTAAATGAAACGAGAGGATAATATGGGAATTAATATAAATGGGGAAGATCTGAACCACCTAAGATTTGCCGATGACATCGTTTTTATATCTGATGGAGTTGACAAAACTACAAAAATGCTGTACATGCTCTATAAAGTGTCAAAAACCATTGGTCTTAAAATTAGCACTTCAGAGACAAAATGTATGACCAACCTTGTAGTCAGCGGTAAAATTCTGATTGAGAGCCATAGCATCAACCAAGAAATAGCTTACAAATATTCAGGGCATGCGATTCGCTTAGGCCGAGATAATGAGACAGCTGAAATACAAAGAAGGATAGGTCTCACATGAGCTGCCTTTGGTAGATTGAATAACCTTTTCCCAATTAAGTTTTTTATCCCAATTTGTTTAAAAAGAAAGGTTTTTAACCAGTGCGTTTTACTGATTCTTACATATGGTGCAGAAACACTGACTCTGACAAAAAGAACAATAGATAAAATAAGAGTTACACAACGCACTATGAAAAGATCAATATTATAGAAATAAGAAGAAAAACAGGAGTCACAGATGCAATTAAAAAAATAGCCATGGCTAAATGGGCTTGGGCCAGAAATTTTGCCAGATTAACGGATGATAGATGGACCAGAAAGATTTTGGAATGGCGACCAAGGCAAGAGACATATCGAAGCAAAGGACGACCACCGACTAGATGGACGGATGATATCAAGCGCATCACCACAAACTGAATGCAAGAAGCTCAAGATAGAAATAGGTGAAAAATTTGACGTGAGGCCTACGTTCAGCAGTGGACAAATATAGGCTAATTGATAATGATTATCTTTGTTGGCATGAATTTAAATCGGTGTTTCATACATAAATAGTGAAGGTAGTGGCATATTACCTACATCCATAAATAAAGGTTGACAGTGTGCCCTATACTCTGCTCTTGCAAGTATCCTCATTACCCTTTTTTTTTGTAGTTTAAAAATTCGATCTGCGTGAGAAGAATTACCCCAAATAGTTACCCCATTTCGTACTGTAAATTGCTATGGGGTAGGGCAAAGTAGCACATTCTAAGGGTACTTTTAGGAATCATATAAACTAAGTTGAGTATTAAAAATATACTTGTAGCAACTCTAGAACTTAAGTAATCTGTATAGGCACTCAAATCCCAATTATCATCTAGAAGGATGCCTAATAGTTTCTCACTATTTCTTGAGATATACTTTCAATCGGAACTAAAAATCAAATTCTGATTTTTCTCTTCATTTAGGTTAAGTCCATTATGTACAAACCAGTTTTTTTGCTTTCGGATCATTAATACCTATTTTAATTTTTAAATTATGCTGACACATTTTATAGGGAAAGTGGGTCATAATATCGAATCTTGAGGAACCTCATATTCAACAGTATTAAACTCAGAATAGCTGTTATTAAGAGAAAGTGCCTGTTTTCTATTTGTTAAGTATTAAGTAATAAGTATAATAGATTAAGAGTGGTTTTACCAATACCGTATTTATGTATTGTTTTCAACAGTAATTTATGCGAAACATTATCAAAAGCTTTGGATAAGTCACACAATGTCAAACACACAAAACGACCTTCCTCCAATCCAACAACTATATCTCTCACAATTTTCTGTATAGCTGGTGTAGTGCTACACTTTTTTCTAAAACCATATTAATTACAGTGAAGTACTTTGTGTTTTTTAGATATCCTATCAAACGAACATTCAGAATACTTTCAAAAATTTTGTCGAAAATGGGAATGACTGTGATGGGACCACAATTTCATCTTAAACTCCCTTTTTGAACATTGGTAGCACGTTTGTTACTTTTAATACATCTGGGAAAATCCATTAAGTAAGACAATTATTATAAAGTATAATTAATTTGTCAATAATTATATCGATTGTTTCCACAATTATTTTTTTGTTTAAGAAATAAAAATCCGTGCAGTGTGAATGTTTCAATCTATGCAAAACATTCCTGATTTCGGTATCACTAACAGGTAATAAAAATAAAGAGTCGCAAGGAGAGTGTACATCTTTCAAAAATCATTTGCTTGCTTTCTAAAATCATTTGCTCTCATTACAATCAGTTCATCATCAAACCAAGCAATTGGAGCTTTACTATGAGATTTTTTTAATGGAAAATTAATTTCAGTGTACTTTACATATATTTCGGTAATAGATTAAGCTAATTCTGTTGCTGTTTTGAGAGAAACAACTGAAGCCCAGTCAACGTTATTTAACGACTGTTTTAACATCAGGATGCATTACTTGTTATAGGTCTTCTGTATGTATTGGCACTATGACTTTTTTCAGATTTTATTTTTAAGTAGAGAAACTGAGCAATAGATCGACAAAATGCTTTGGTATATAAAACACTATTTTACATTAAGTTATTCAAAGTTGATTATATATATCATAAGTCATTATATATTAAAAAAGGCAATTTTCTTGACGTATATAAATTTTAATATAAAACTTAAAAAGCCTTTGCTTTACAAACCTGTCAAGTTCAAAGTAAACCTTTACATGCGAAGATATTTAGGATAACTGCTCAATTGTATTGGTAGATTCTAAATTATTCAACAATATTCTACTTCCTATGTATGAAGTTTTTTTTATGTCTAGTATACTTTTAAAAATATGCAAAATTTTGTTTTTTTACTTACCATCTATTACAGTTCTTCCACTGTGCCCTGGAGAAGATTCAGAGAATCCATGAATGAAAATTACAGTCGGTAAATTTTTATCGATACCTGCTTTTTGAGCATAACCCGATCGCATGTGTTCAATAGGTATACCACTAGGAAATTTTCTTGAATACGTTACAAATCGGATGTCTCTATGAATGTTTGCTGGACAACAATTCGGACAAAAGCCTCTTGCAAGCGCTGTGAGTTTTAACTCATTTTCTCCTAAAATTTTAATGAAATAACCATACAATATTTATCTAAATACTATTCAACAATTGCTAGCCGGACAATCGGACAAAAGCCTCTTGCAAGCGCTGTGAGTTTTAACTCATTTTCTCCTAAAATTTTAATGAAATAACCATACAATATTTATCTAAATACTATTCAACAATTGCTAGCCGGACAATCGGACAAAAGCCTCTTGCAAGCGCTGTGAGTTTTAACTCATTTTCTCTTAAAATTTTAATGAAATAACCATACAATATTATCTAAATACTATTTAACAATTGCTAGCCTTTTTCAACTTCCGTTCAGGTGGCGCCCTAACCGTTGCCTAATACTTTAATACTTTTCTTAGCGTCTACTGTAGCCTCAGACGATTTTTTATTTGTAATTAATGTATCTTATTACTTATAATCATTGACATGGGTAGAGTTTACAATAATATACATATTATACATACAAACATTTGATACAGTCCATACAGATTATACATCAAAACATTTGGTACGAACAAATAGTGGTGTAGCTGTAAAATAACACAGTAATAACAGTATGCGCTTCTTAGATAAGCTTAAATAAACATTTACTTTTAAAAAGTTTAGAATACTGCCAAAGCGGTATAATACTGCTAAAACGGATAAATGTTAAAAGGGAGTTGTTTAAAATATGATTCTGACAAAGACATCTAACTGCATTTGTTTACATTTCTTATTTCTGTTACTGCACTGACTGCTTCATTACGCTGAAGTACTGTCAGTGAAGAACTTTCAGGTCCGATTCGTACACATTCTAAATTGCAGTTCTTTCAACAAGTTTAATACTAATTTTCCCAAACTAACCGCTGCTATCAGACGTTGTTCTTCCCCTCATTCTTGATTTTCACTAATTATTTTTACATTCTAATAAAGTGAAGAAACTTAACAAAGTCTTTACCAATGTTGTTCTTGTGTATAAGCTGTTCCACGTGGGATACGTCGGCCTTTTCGTCAAATATGATAGAGTAATAATTTGCACTTTGAATTTGATTCATTATTTATTCAATTATTTCTTTATCACAACAATTTATCAATTGATTTTGACTGGTGGTACTAATGTATGTTGCCCGGGAAAACGATGTGGATAGATGTTGTATGCTGCCCTTAATCGGGCCTAACTCGAGTAAGAAATAAATAGTTAGAAATAAAATATGAAACAAATAACTGGTATTCGTTTTTTCATTTTAAAAAAATAGGTGTGAAAACTATTTTCCCGAGTTTATAAGTCCGATCTTAAGTGGAAATTATAGGCACTATACCCTGCAAAGTTATTAAATAAGAATACCTATAAATATAATAATTAATAAAATGATCTATAAAATTTTATTTTAATAAAATAAAGAGATTATATTATCATTTAGTCTACTGGAATGTAGGAAATCGGCACCTTGCATTTAGTCCTCTTTTCATTGTGCTACAAGATTTACATCTTTTGCAAGATGATATAGAAGGCATGTGCATGCCAACGTTTGTCAAGCGAACTTCATCTGAAACTTCCAAACAACCTCTTTTTTTACTCTGAAAGCAGTTGCACGTCGCTGTATCGAAGAATAATTATTAATTAGTGCCCTACTTAAACTTATCCGGAATCCTCTGTGGATGTTACGTATGTCGCGATGGTCTTAGATATATAAGATATACGTGTTTATTACTGCAACTTCGAAAAGTAACCAGAAAATCTGGAACCAGTTCTTTTTCGACTTCATTCCAATAGAGTATGACGATCGGTAATGGCAAAATTTATTAACACCAGCCATGTTCTTTGTATATTTAAAAAATACGTTAGGGCATTACATGAATTTCTTGTTTTCATCCTTTTGAGTTCTTTGTATTAGTTTCATTTCTTTCTAGGATCAAAAGCTATCGTCGTTATAAAGACATCTTTGGTGTCGTGCCATTTTATTAGACTTGCAGGAAAAGCATGTTGAAAAGTAAACTCACCAGATCTTAGATTTTCCCTCTTGGACTTCATCTTTGCTATTATGCAAGCTGGTAATTTCTTTCGGTTATTTATGAACGTGCCTACAGAATAAATATTGTTCTCATACAATTTGTCTAACAGGGGTAAGATTAAAAAAAATTGTCAAAAGCAACAACGGTATCTGGAGAATTTTTTTGTATAAAGTAGTAACAACTTGATATCCTAGACCTACTGGCGCAATATTTTTATTTTCGGATTAATTAGGTTGTCCAGAATAGATATCACACTCGTAAAAAGAACCCGTCTTAGCATTACAACGAGCCCATGCTTTATACCCCCTTTTAATCGGTTTCTTTGGCCTGTACTGTTCCAATCCACTTCGTTCCTTAAAGATTATCCTAATTTTATCTATTGATTGGTATTGGGAACCTGCTGCATTTAAAAATAAACTGGTTCAGAATTTTCAATGTGGGCCGTATTTTATACAATTTATCATGACCGGGTTCTTACCTAGAAATCGCAGCTGAATTGTCATTTACATACAAATTTTCAGTAATTTTTTTGTTCCATTTGCTTGACATAACTCGGTTTCTATGCTTAATAAAGGGTTAAACTCCATTATAATAACAATTTTTAAGTAGGCACATAGGTTACCTCGATTGATGTTTATCCAGTTATTTGATTCCTTTTGTTGGGCATACAAATGTTTTTTATTTACAATTATGTCCAACATGTTTGTGGGAAACAAGTCATAAAATATATCAACTGGTTATGTTTTATGTGTGTACGGCTTCATAGGTTTCATCTTAAGTTCAAAACTAGTTTTTAGTGTATTCTCCTACTTTAATACTCGAATATCTCACTCTCTCTTGGAATATTTACCAAGCAAAAACAACTGGGCCTTAAAATCAGCAAGCTATATTGGTTTATAAGCCGGAAGTCAAAACCGTCAATCGACAACAACATTTTAACATGTAAATTTATTTTAAAACCCATTTGGATATATGGAATTCAGCTATGAGTAACAGCAGCTAGATGCAGTATTGACGTTCTTAAAAGATTTCAATCAAAAGTCCTCCGAATGATAATCAATAATCCATAGTACGTACCAAACAAGACGATTTGTACCTATTTGTACGAGACCTCAACAACTGGCAACGAGCCAGTCACCAAAGTCTGGTATATGATCAGAGACTAACAGACCACTCCAATAATCTAGTCCAAAATCGCACAACCAATCGGACGAAGGCTCAAACGAAAGACCCCAACCCACCTGTTAACTATAAACTAGTCGCAAAAGCCCAATAGAAGCTAACTGCAGAATCCCAACCAAACCTTAAGACATACGTGACACTATTTTATTGTCAAGAATACACACGAAAATGTCAATGAGCAATTTTCTACCAAGGCATTTTTTTAATAATATTTATATGGTTAAATATTGTCAAAAACCTGTATTTGTAAATATATTACACATTGTAAATATGTTGGAATGTTAAAAAACAGTTGTCAGAATTAAATTCTGAAAATGAAGTAATTTCAGTGCAATATTTTTGGGAATAATTTTAAAAATAGATGGGCCTATAATAGGAAAGAATCATGTTTTATGGAATTCGAAAAATATAATCAAGTAACGTCTGAATCAAAAAAAGGATTTTGTAGATCCTGTCTTAATTAACAGCCGTTAAAAATAGTTAGAAATTTCAATGAAGGATAACTCTTTCTCATAGGAAAATGAAAGTAATTAGATTTACCTCTTCTTTGTTATGTGGTAGTTGATTGTCAAGTTAGTCATGGTGGAAATTTTCATAGTCAACTTACACATACTCATACAATTATCTCATGGTAAATTTTGTTTGGGCTTGTTAATTTGGTATGGAATTTTTGGCGGTTCTTAGTTGTGGTACCTGGTATTCCATGGGTTTGAATACCCTTACATTTGATTGGTTTTAGGATCTGGATGCTGGGGGGTTTAAATTTTGTTTAAACTGGTGAAGTGACACCAGAAAAATTCTTTTGGCTCATTTTTATTTCACCAGTATGTAATTCGATGAAGTTGCAAGTGCAGCCTAAAAGTTCCAATATTATATATTTTTATCAAATGCTTAATCGATTCCGTTGAGACTTGTCTCAAATTTACTAGGTCCGTTATAAGCGAATTTTCATTTCTTCGTGCTTCAAAACTTTAAATTATTGAATTTGTTATTTTATACCAACTTTCACATCTGTATACAGATATAACTTCTTTTGATCTACCTGTTAATTTGATTTCTTCTTCTTCTTCTTACGGTGCCTATACGTTCCGGATGTTAACGATCAACAGGGCTATCCTAACTTTGCTTGCTGAATTCTGAATAGTCCGGTTGTCGATGTATTAAACCACTTTCTCAGGTTTTGAAGCCAAGATATTCTTCTTCTCCCTGGTCCTCTTTTTCCAAATACCTTGTCCTGACGAATGAGTTGCAACAAGCCGTATCTCTGTTCATTCCTCATAACATGGCCAAGATATTCTAGTTTGCGCTCTTTGATGGTGTTAATAATTTCGCATTCCTTGCCTATTAAACCGTCCAGACTATCTGCAAAAACTACTGCATCGTCGGCATATCTAATGTTTAGACGCATTCCGTTGACAAATACGCCTTCTTGTAGTTCTCCCAGCGCTTGCTCGAAGATATATTTAGAGTATATATTAAATAACACCGGGGACAGAATGCATCCTTGCCTCACTTCTCTTTCTATCGAGACTGCCTCTGTCAATTGGTCATCCACTTTAATACTTGCTGTTTGGCTGTAATATAAATTATAGATGATTCTCAAGTCCCTACATCTAACGTCACTTCTTTCAAGATATTTATAAGTTTATCATGTTTTACTCTATGAAATGTCTTTTTGTAGTCGATAAAACAAATATACACATCGCAGTTAACATCCCTTAATCTTTACATAAGCACTTGGACAGCGAGTAGAGCCTATCGGGTGCCAAAGGAATCGCGGAATCCAAACTGCGTCCATGATACTTGTTCTTTGCATTTTTTATATATTCT